AGTAAAGTTCTACGGGTGTTCATTCAAGTTGTGATATATTGAGCCAAGTAATGAAATATTGGGTGTATTATGTTACGAAAATTATTAGAGTTATAGTGTTTGGAGAAATTATGAATTAATCTTAGACTTGAAATTTAGTAAATATGGAATTTGACCTATTGGTTGGAATCAAGATTTAGGAATTTTATTGTACATTTGAGCGAGTTTTTGGGTCTAGGCTAAACCTATAGTAATATGGGCATTGTTAGTTCTGAAATCTTATTGTGAATATGCACTTGAATAGATTACATTGATTTGGAAGCTCAACGGAAAGGGAAGACTCAAGTCTCGGAGTGATTATTCGGTTATTTAAGGCAAGTGGATTTCTAAACCCTTGTTAAGCGTATGGAATTCGTGTATTTCCTTGTGGTATATGTTTGGGAGTAATGTGATCAATTGTTTGTGTAATGTGTTGAGAATTGTTTGAAAGGCTTGTTGAATCATCGTTGAACTTGTGATTTGTGCAATGTTATGAAAATGGTCATCTCCTCATTATTTGTGTGAACATGTCATTTGCATTATTCTGAGACATGGTTGTGACAAGTGTTATGTGCATTGAGAAAGAATAAGAAATTAAGGAGGATGTACCATTTCGAAGGACGTATCGCGCGCCGCGACGGATACTATATTTCGAGGGACGTGTCGCGCGCCGCGACGGATATTATATTTCGAGGGACGTATCGCGCGCCGCGATGGATGCATGGACAGATATGTCCCCCATGGGTCCCGGACTGAGAGACAGCGGGTGTGTATCATTAGGTCAGACATGCATCACTATAATTGACATTGCATTTCATTGCATTGCACATTTTTATTATTAATGAACTTGATCTTGTGTGTTGTTGATCTTGTGAGTGCCTTTCTGTGAAATTGGTTATTGACGAATATTGAGGTGTTATTGAGAATATATGACCTGTTAGAGTGCTATTGTTGAGTTGTATGCTTTGTAAATTGTAAATTGTTAGGTTGGGTTGGTTTTATGCAGGTTGTAGTTATGGAGGTTAGGATGGGGTGTAAGGAGTACCCGTATTCTGTACTCTTAGCTTGTGTTTAGAGGTTTGCTTGTTGAGTACCGTGTGGTTTGGTACTCACCCCTTGCTTCTACAATCTTTTGTAGGTTACGAGCCCGGATCTTCGTGATACCTTCCATTCTCTTCGTTTCCGAGGCTTTCTGTGGAGATCTGAGAGGTAGCTGTTTGTCATCTCAGCGAACCTCCTTACTCATGTTTATGATTTTGTTTTTACTTGAAAGACAACATCATTTGAGACTTGCGCATTTTATTTCAATTCTAGTATTTACATTAGAGGCTTGTGCACGTGACAACCAGGTTTTGGGGATTGAATTAAGTTGACTTGTTTTCGTAATAGTAATTGCTATTGAACTTTGCTTTATTTCCGCACTTTATCGAAATGATTGGGTTTTAGGCTGACTTGTCTTGGTGGGATACGACGAGTGTCATCACATCCATTTTTGGGTCGTGACAAAATTTCTCGCTAAAAACAAAAGATAAATTACATTAAGTGATTTCTAAGTTTAGCAAATTATTATTTTTAAATAATTAAAGTAAAGTATTATCACATAAACTGAAATCGAAGAAATATATAGTATCTAATTTTCTTTTTTTTCTACTGTCAACTCACCCTCATCTTAGGTCCCCTACGACCCACACCATAGAATAAAAACACAAAGAAGTTTAAACGTTAGCGAAATGTTACAAACACATGCGTCTAACATTTCTTTATTATTTTTATAAACGGATTCAGCATTTAAATTTCATCGATTTGATATTTGATGATTTTATTAGTACATGAATTCATTATGCTTATAAAATTATGGGTCGTTGTTTTAGTACATGAATTCATTATGCTTATATCTTTTAGATTCAACATCAATCATATGCTTCAACCTTGGATCAATTGTTGGAGAAAAAAATTATATGAAATCACTGAAATTTTTTAATAAACTTTGTAACGTTACCAAATATTCTAGAACATTATAATTTGTAGCTGAGAAAATGATCAAAATGATCCTTAATGTATGGCTTTGATTCCATTTGGTCCTTAATGTATGGACTTGATGGAAATGGTCCTTTATGTATCATAAATTGTGATCAATTTGGTCCTTAACCCTAAAATTAATATTTTATTTTATTTTTACCGTCAAAATACACGGAATATGTAAAAGATGCGCTCGTTCAAGACTTTCCTTCCCCTGTTTCCAAAAATTCCAAAATGGCACATCAAATTTTTTTTAACCAAAAGGGCAAAATCGCTCCTGATGGAGCGATTTTCTTCTGACAAAATTGACGTTGTTACTCCTTTAAAAAACATAAAAATCGCTGCCGGTCCAAAAAAAAATTCTTTTTTCTTTAAATTGCTGCTGTGATTTTTTTTTTTAACAACGCTGCCCCAACAGCGTTTAAAAAATAGAAATAGCTACTATAGCTGCCATTTTCTTAAAAAAGTTTAAATTTTTTTATTAAAAATTTCCGAGGCGAGGACTGCTTAAAAAATAATGGGAAATCGCTCCACGTGTAGCGATTTTAATTAATTTTTTTTTAAAAATAATCGATGCCATTAAAATTTTTGGGTTAAGGACCAAATTGATCACAATTTATGATACATAAAGGACCATTTCCATCAAGTCCATACATTAAGGACCAAATGGAATCAAAGTCCATACATTAAGGACCATTTTGATCATTTTCTCATTTGTAGCTATATATTCTTGAATTTGAAGAATTATATATTATGCTTTTTTATAATAATAATATATTCATTAAGCAATACACTCTTTATAAAATTACTCTCTATAACAATCATATATTATAACAACACCTAAATAAAATTTAAACGTCCAATGACAAATACATATGTGACATTTAACAACACCTAAATAAAGTCTAAACGTCCAATGACAAATATATATGTGACAATACCTCATTATAACATATCTATGAAATTTTCAGTCAAACAATATCACTATAACGAGATTTGAGACAAATACATATGTGACATTATAACAACACCTAAATAAAATCTAAACGTCCAATGACAAATATATATGTGACAATACCTCATTATAACATATTATGAAATTTTCAGTCAAACAATGTCGCTATAACGAGATTTGACTGTATCGTATTTTATTATTGTTAGCGTATTGGGCCATTTAAATGGAAGTTGGATGAAGCCCAAATTCATTCGAATGGATCCCAAATTCGACCCGGTTTCATCTGATTTCTGTACTGAACCCCTCACATCCTCACCAATGGGCCTTTTCTGAAGCTTTCTTCAGAGCTTTTTGCCGGAATTCATCGTAGCTCCGTCGGAGGTGGTGGAAATCTCTGCTCTCAAGCCCATCGGAAAAGGTATATTACTCACTTCAACTTTTTTTGGCTCTGTTTGTTTGCTTAGTTGACTGATAGTTTTAGTAAGGGTAAGGGTTCCTCGTGTGATCGAGATTTTGATCTTTCGCTTGTTGAATATGTATGTTTTTGAATATTGAAAGTGCATTCTGGACTGATTTCATAATCTTAATTTGCTACTATTCTCACTCTCTTGGCCTCCAGAGCTGTATTATGATTAGTCTGAACTGTTCTACTCGTCTTAGTTTATTTTCTGTTTGTTATGAATCTGCATTAATAATTAATGTTCGACGTCCTGTTATTCATTCTTTGTCTTAAGCTAAATTGTATGAATCAAGGTATATTTCGTGTTTTCATTACTCCTCATCTCGAATCTGTTCACTGGAATGTTGTCAAACTATTATCTGTGTATACCTACCTTACTCTATCTTCAAGCATCAGGTCCTCCGTTATTTGCTGTTGGTATCGCCTTTAGATAAGTGCATGAGTCTCAAAATTGATTGACATGTTCTCGAGCTATGTTTAATATCGAAATGAAGTGTTATGTCCTGCTTTACCTTCCATGATTCTGTATATGTCAACTTATTCTCCAAAGTGGTAGTTTAGCTCTCTTTTAAGTGCTTTAAATTAGAATTTGTCCAATAGACATGTTTGGCCAGCTTATTATTTGATCTGAAGTATCTGGGGACTATTCGAGTTCAGGGGGTAGGTTTTTAACTCTGATCTGGTTGTTTTAAGTTTTTTTTTTTTTATGTCTTTGGGGATAGTGATTTAGGTTTTCTGATGGTTTCACATACGTAGAATGTTGAGAACCTGATGATGAACATGAGATCAAGTTTGGTTTTAATCAAAATAGAGTCTATTGTCAAAGTGTTGCCTCCCCGTTTGTAGTCATTTGTCGCGTTAGACTCCTAACCCCCCTATTTTGCTTCAAATTATAATATGTTATGCTCAAATAGTTACAGAAAGAAGGATATTCTAGTTAGTCTGTTTTGGTTTATTTCTCTTAGTTGAGTTTCCATTTGAAAAATTCATTTTCTGTTTTCCCTTAGTTCTTGTGTATGCTAATAGATGGAATTTGCTGATCCAAAAGTTATTTTCGTTTCCTTTATGTGTAGTTCCCTTGCTTCCTTGTCTCTTTATTCTCAATTAGTCTATACTTGATTTTAGTTTCATAAGGGGAAGTCTTAGGTGAATTTGTCATTGTTTTGACTGTTGTGAATTTGAGTTTGGCTGAAGTTCGTCTCGATGTTTTGCATTTGATAACTAATTAGTGATTCAGTTTCTGTATTTAATGTTAATTAGGGCTCGCTTATTTTGTTCAAAGTTTTGGCCCGAGATTGTTTCTTACCTAAATAGTGTATTTGCTATGTTAAAAATGATCTCATATCACTGTTGCTTCATTAGGATACATGACATACCTCTCCTAGCATCTGATGTCTTTTGAAACTTGAAGCTTTTTTTTCATGTTAAATTATGGTTGTCCTGCGTTTTCTTCCCATACCCCACTTGTGGGATTACTCTAGGCCTATCCCTTAATAAATCTTGTTTCTGTTTTCTGCATATTGATAGCTACATCTTCCAATTAACCAAATATTTCCTCTGTGCAGTTCAGCTGATAATTGAAGGATCTCGTGGACATGGCAACGTATTTATGGAGGAAATATGCAGATTATGTATACACAAAATGGGAAAAGACGCTCCTCTGGGATATGGTAGAACCATTTAGGAGACCAAAATCGTTTACTCCTCTTGTTACTATCTACGTATGTGCATTTTATACAGGGGTTATTGGAGCAGCCATCACTGAACAACTCTACAAGGTATAGTGGCTTTACATCCTTTTTTAAGCACCAACTGCTTGCCATTTCTTTTGACATATTTGTGGGGATAGCTGCTTTGTGAAGTTAGTTTTAAAAGTTGAAAGCACCGATGGTTTCTTGGTTGGACGGGTATAGGCAAGATTATGAATGCCCAATTATATTCATCATAAATGGAGAGTATATTCATCATAAATTACTCTTCCCCCAATTGATATGTAATCCAGAGACTGCTGCAAAGATGATGAATGTTACTCTTAGAAAAAGTTACCATTCTCAAAAAAAATATACTCTCCATTAAATTACTCAGCAGCTAAGAAACGAGGAGACACATAAGACTTAGCTCTCCGAGCCCTTTGCCGCCTTTTTGTCACCCCCAGCCTTTCAAAAAGCTGTCTGTGAACCCATGTTTGATATCCAAAGTATGCTGCAGTAGGAGTGAGCACATTGTTCTCTCTCCATCATTGGACCATCTCCTACCTCTGGAACTCATCCTACTCGGAGTTTTTTTTCCATGGACCGGATTTTGAAGCAACATTTGTTTCATTTACTTGATGCTAAAGAGATTCCACTGCAGGTAAAACATCTGTTTGAAGGTCCTTCTGATCCTTTGTCCTCCTTGCTTGACCCCTCCTTGGCCGATTACACACAATACCTTTTTCCTTCTTTTTTGCAACCTTAAAGTAACTAAGACTATTATCTATGTGCCCCTTTCTCAGATTAAGCTTCATCCGACTGGAAGCAGTCCTTTCTTGAAAAAACAGCTTCATTTAAGTATTTGCTAGCTTAGGAGTATCAACAATAAAATTCCTATTTGATTACTTAATAATTCCCAAATGTATTATTAACAGTTTCTAATCATAAACTAGATTATTAATTAATTCAATGGGTTCTTCTACAGCTATAAATACAATGTAAAAATCAAGTTAGCTACTTAAATTCTTGACGTATGTATCCTATGAATTGGAAGAAGTACATTGTTTGTTCTTTCTGTCTGAAAAGATCAAAGCAGTCAAAATAAGAGGTTTATATAAATACATCTATTTTAGCTACTCACATTGCTTCTGTTGTTTGCTCCTCTCTCTGATCTTATTCTTGACTTTTTGCTATTAATACATTATATATTTGCTCAACATAAAGACTTCCCCTTGTGTATTAAGAATTATATTCTTTTTTCCAGCCTTAAGTTTACTGCCAATTCCAAATTCTTGTCTTTTAGTATAAGAGTTTTTCTTTTTTACCATAATGACAGGAGAAATACTGGGAAGAACACCCTGGGCAAGAAGTGCCTCTAATGAAACCAATGTTTTATGGTGGCCCTTGGAGAGTAATGAGAGGTGACGTTCCTCCTATGGGGAAGTTCGATCTCTGAGCTGCAGTCAGTTAGATAGTTATTAGGCATCCAACATAGGCTCTAGGAGAAGGAAAACCATCACCTTAGGATTTGGTTCAACGGCAAAGGTACTACAACACGCGATGTGTGATAGGTACACATGAGTTCAACTCTTGCCAGGGAACCAAGTCTATTAAGTAGAGAAGAGTAGAAGGGCAGACCCATTATCCACCAATTCCAGAACTGGTACGTAACAAAAGAAAGGTACCATTTTTCTACAATTGTTGTGCATTTATATTTGAACTATCCTCTCTTGTAAAGATTATAATATAGGTTTGCAAATTTTATCTATACCTATTTTGGTCCTTCCCTGTATTTCTCCTTGTCTTCTGTATTTGTATGAAGTATCAAAAGAAATTTGTTTTCATGGCTTGATTTGCCAGAATGTATAAGTTTGATGCATAAGAAAACCAAAAGCATGAAGTTCACACTAAACAGAGGATAATTTGTTTCATTTTTCCACCAATGTTTTTGTCCTTCCCGCAGCTCCGCGTACATCCTTCCCTCCCCAAACCCTGCTTGTGGGTTTGGTTTGTCCAAGGGACAATAGTATTTTATTAGAGTACTTTCTCTTTACAATTATTCTTGCAGATTATTGAAATGGCCTAACCACAGTGGGACAATTCCTAACAACTTTAATGAAGCAACTCGAGGGTGCATTGAACTAGACATGTGTTGAACTAGACGTGTCAAGTGGGTCGGGTGGGATTAGACCTGACCCGGTCCTTTAAGGCTTTCAGTCCCATGAATTCCCGAGACAGTCGGGAAAGACTCGGCTTAAGGAGCTTGGTTGGGAGTTGGGCCATTTTGAAACTCGGAATGAAAGACACATGACCATTAAGCAAATTTGTTGGGCCTGGTGAAGTCATGTTTAAGTGGGCTAGGTTTTGTTTGTCTTGTTATTTAAACTTGCAAATACTTTAAATAATTAAACTAGAAATCACATTTAATTACTCCTTTGTTAAAAGTTGTGAGGCCCATGGCGGAGGATGGGTCAATGAGAAGGACCTACAGGTTGTAACAATGTACGATATCTTAGATGAATTCCACATCGAAAAGAGAGGAAAGTTATGAGCTTTATAATCCATAGCATAAGTCTACACGGTGCACACATTTCTGGGCTCAATGATGACTAGTCTAAGAGATGAGATATATTGATGAGCAGAAGTGAACAATACGTACCATGGGCTAAAAGCTGTGACAAGGGCCTTCTTTAATGTTAGAACTCAATGCCTAATGAAAAACTGTCACATAAATTGAAACGGAGAGAAAGTACATGGTATTAAATGTTGAGACGTGGTTTAGTTTGGCTTGTTCATTTTTCTCATTCTATACAATTTGTAATCTTTTCCATAGTACTATCCAAAACTAGTCATCCATATGTTTTTTCATATACAAGACAGGACACAAAATACTGATACAACTTACACTGCTAACAATGGTTTCCAAATGAGGAATTGACATGTCTAAGCTAAAAGCACAGTGGTCCAACAAGACAGTGTATGGTTTTTTCAAGAGGGGACCCAAGTAGTGTTCTCATGCTGTGTGTATAGTATGGGTATATCTGTTATTTTTTGGACTTATGTAACTATCAATGAATTAGGTGAAAATTAGGGTTTAATTTTTGGTAGAGAAAAAGACGTTAAGTGAAGTTGGAAGAGAATCATGAGATTTTTAGGTTTAAGTTTCAATGAAGGCAAAAAGACACATGTGATTTCTTCCTTTTTACCTGATGTACTTATGTTGATGGGAAGTAGCAACTACCTATTGATATAACCAAGGTTGGACGGACTCGAAAACCACCATCATAAAGAAAATATTTTTAAGAAAACTTGATAATGTGAGTTTATTTCTTAACACAATCCACGGGTCCCAAAGACCAAAACACACCTGGTACATGTTGATGTGAGGTAACATGTATTTTGTGGATTTAGTCGAGGCACGAAAATTGGCTCGAACACAATGATCATTAAAAAAAAAAACAATTCCTAACCCTATGCCTTAAATGTTAGGATGTTGGGTGGGGGTAGGGGGTGGGTGTGGGGTATGTGGGCTCTATACAAAGTTTCTAGGCTCCTCTATGGTCCTGCTCTATTAATGGTCCAAAATCACAAGTGACAAAAAGGATGCTTATAATTGTCTCAATGAAGATAGAAGAAAAGCCAGTGGAAAATAATTTGCTTTGTCTTAGTATATATATATGTATATATTACTATTACAAGGAATTATACATTATACAACAAGAGGAAATTTCAAGTTTGAAAATGAAGTTACTCTATATATATACATGTATAAGTTATTGGATATTTGAACACTAATTGATCAAACTAAAAGAAGAAATTAGACACTCCCTCCGTTTCAATCTGTTTGAACTTGATTCAAAGTGCAAGTCGAGAGTTTAGATAGGGATAAGGTCTACCTACATTCCATCATCTCAAGACTCCACTTACAAAAATAAACTACATTGGAGTTGTTGATTTGGAGTACATTAATAAAGGGTGACCAGAAGGACGAATGTGTTTCTTGACAACTCATTGCTAGTAGTAATATATATTCCTTCTATCTCAGTTTATATAGTATTCTTTTTCTTTATAATAATTTTGAAAACAATGTTATACTTTTCTATTAAGCCTTATCAAAGGCGCGCTTAAGCCCTGAAGCAAGGCTCAAAACGTATTGAGCATCTCCCCTAGCTTTATGTGCGCTTTGGTGTTGTCATCAAGGTTCTAAGGCATATTTTTCCTTGCCAATGAGTCTCCTCTTCGGAGGTGACACTATCAATTGATATTTCACTTTATCATTAAAAAAAATTCAATTTATTTGGTAATATAATTGTCATTCATGTTTATAATTATTAGTCTTGAACTAAACATATATATTTATTTTTTTCTTCCTTTGCGCTTTTTTTTCATTAATTTGCGCTTAAATCCCCAATAGACCTTAGAGCTTTTTGCGCTTTTGCCTTTGATAAAACTGTTTCTATTTAGAAATGATTTAACTATAAACTTCTTATTTTAATTGTAATGATATAATTTTTAGTCAAATTTAAGACTTGTTTTAGACGTTAAGTTTCAAAAGTCTTGAATTATGAGTTTATCACATTCAAATCCTAACAAAAAAAAAAAAGATAGGATATTTCTTTTCATTTGATTGAGCGGTTAAAGTCATTCGATACCTGTGTTAGCCAATGGGTAGACCGGGGGGGGGGGGGGGGGGGGGTGTTTCTAGGTATCTTTGAAATAGTTAAAGTGTACATAAACTATCAAATATTTACATTTTTCTTAATAACATTTATATTCAATCAAACAATATCATATAAATTAATATTTATCCCAATAATCCTTGTATTTTTTTTTTCTAAAATCACTATCTCTATAAAGTAAATGTAGGACCAGCTGACAATTGCCAGGTAAATATTTAAGTTGACACCAAGATTTTATAGCAAATTCTAAAAGATACCCTCACCCACTCTTAGTTCCCCACTAAGAAGATGACAAAAATATAAAGATAAGTGTGTTACATGTGTGTTGAGAATGTTAGGTTCTTGTTGATAATGTTTTCTAAAAGAGTTAAAAAGGATAAAAAAAAAATACATCTAAATCTTTTTTATCTTATCAGGTTTCATATATTGAGAGTTTAAGTTTTCTATCTGAATTATCACTTTCTTGTTGATAATGTTTTCTAAAAGAGTTAAAAAGGATTAAAAAAAATACATCTAAATCTTTTTTATCTTATTAGGTTTCATACATAAATTATTGAGAGTATAAGTTTTCTATCTGAATTATCACTCAATAGTTAGCAAAAAACATTTAGACGTTGACTAGATTAAATATTTGTCTAAAAATGCTTTTAGGAGCATTGTCCATAATATTTTTGTCCACCTAATATATATAATGATTCTTTAATTTTTTTAAAATATATTTTAGTTGACTTCTTTAAAACCCTAAACTCTACCTTTTCAAGTTGGAGATATCGATGTCACGACAAAGATGAGACCATAGCTAAGAAGGTGGAGAAGAAGATAATGGATGTCACAGTTGGAACAATTTAATTTATACAATAATACTTTTAAATTTTAATCTAATAGTAATTTACTTAGATTTGCCACAGTTGAATTATTTCCACGTGGAGTCTCACATGACAAAATTTTCAAACAAAAGAGGGAGTGTACACACATCAAAAAAATTGGTTGAGGTGTGTTTCACTAACTATTGGGTGATAGTTTGGTAGAACACTCACTCTCAATAGTTTAGGTATGAAACTCGGTAAAGTGGGATGGTTTAAACGTATTTTTGACCCTTAAACTCTTTCTAAAATTTTGATCAATCGAATATTAGAAAATTAAAAATATATCTTCACATCGAACATACCCTTAGAGGTTAATAGATTTTAGTGATTGTTAATTCACCCATTCGTGTGCGTACACACATACAACAATTTTTCTATCTTCATGAAGTAGGATTAAGGTTACGTACATATACATATATTTTGTGTTGAAATTACTAAGTCGTTTAATTGAACTCATTGTAAATATGTTATATCCGTCTCTCAATGGATGAAAAATTCTCTACAATTTTCCTTTTAATCTGTCCTAAAAAAAACTATCATCTTTTAATTAGAAATAATTTAAATTCTCATTCTATTTATAATGAGATGACTTGTAGTCACATTAATATTTAAAACTTGTTTTAGACATTAACTTTTAAATGTTTATCGTTCTTTCTTAAACTATATATTTGATCAATATGCGCTATATAAAATTTGAACAAATCAATAAAACAATACATATTATGCTCATGGGTGGATCAGAGTTAGGTAGACGCAAAGAGGTTCAAATTACACCTAAGATATATTAAGGTTAAAATTATGTTATAATATATTGATAGTAGATGTGGAATCTTTCTAACGTCTTCTTCATATATTTATGTTTTCATGATTTAATTTTTAAGTAAAAATCTTGACTCTACCACGAATTTATATAATTTTCAAAGAAGCAAGGAAATAAGCATGTATAGAAAGAGAGCGCGAACACAAACTTTATTCAGAACTTTATAGTTCAATCTATTTGTCATACAACTTAAGAAGATAATCCGAACTGAAGCTCAAAGTTGATCTCATTGATCTTCTTTAATAATTCAAAACTTTCAAATTATGAATACGCCTCGAATTACGAGCCATGAGCTAGCTAGGTTGAACAACCGACAAGTCTTTGAATATGGTTCATATGTTTATTTTCACTAACTAGTTAAAATACTTTAAGTTCAAAGGAGACAAATATGATTCATCAAAAAAAAATATATATATGATTCATCATCCAAAATTTTCTAAAGTTATTATAGTGGTCCAATGACCATTATATTGTCAAGTAATGTCAAATTACTTGTCTCTATTTTTAGGTGTATATATATGAATGAAGGTACAATTATTTATTGATTCCAATTTAAACACGTTTCAAGAATGTAGTTTTCATTTTATCAACTCTTCAAATATTTGTGGACAGAATTATTCGACGATAGTAGAAGATCTATCTAAAATAATTACATCATACTTTATCTTTCTCAATTTTTATTTGTGGAATTATATTGAATACCTTATTGTTGTTGTAGAATTATTTGACCATGAAAAATAATAAAAACTTCATAAAATTAATCGAGATGCAAACAAATTAATCAGAATATCGTGATTATTAAATAAGATTTTTTTTTTCTTTTGGTGTTTCTCTAGTTCTTTTGTCCTATTAAATTTGGAGTAATAGTGGTGATGGACCCTTTTTGTAGGAAAAAGTTTACCCCAAAAAATCCAAGTATATCTTATTCGGAGATATCACATAATAGCAGACTTGAAAAGTATTAAATAATTAGTCATTTAATATTCTAAATCTACTGGCTTTAGTTGGAAACGATTACTACTTTTTATCTTGAATTCCTAAAGCGGCACTTATTTATTGGAATAATATATTTTTTCTAATTAAAGCTGACTACTCTTATTTTGAGATAGAGGAAATATTAGGAAAGAAATCCTCATGAAGTACTTTGTTCTAATTTATGTTGCTCGGATTCTTCAAAACATTGAGGAATGTGTATCGGATCTTTCAAAAATAGTGTATTTCTAAAAGATCTGACATGAATGCGGTAATATTTTTGAAGAGTCAGAACAAGATTCTAATTAGCAAAAGATTGAAGTTGATGGAGAATAGAAGTGAATACTATATTATAAGTGGATTTATAATATTGTAATTTTTTTTTTTACCTTGGAAAAAAGAAGAAAAGAAGAATCAATACATACAGTGGTGCTAATTAATTAATCACTTAAAAACTCTAATAGTAAAGTCACTTTTAACTAAACAAGGACTTTAATTAGTACAAGTTAGGTAACTCTAATTGGTCCAATATTCATGAAAGTAGTTTTGGAGGATGATGAATTATTTTTTTCCACAATATTATTTCTTGGAGATGAAAGACTTAGCTCCAAATCAAGAGCTCCATTTGAAGAAATGGAGTTATTTGGAACTTTATTGTGATGAGAATTTTGTGATCCATAACTCCAAATAGAATTTTCACACTTTTCTCCAAATGAATTTAGATCTAATGGAGATGATCTTGTAATTTCTTGACCATCTTCTTGGCAATTATGACCAAAATCTACATATTTGTTGTTGCTCCTTGCCTATATCATGTTAACAAAAAAGAGTTAGTAATTAATTGTATATCAAAAAATATATTTACATAATCAGGTCAATTATAAGATAATCATGTTGCTCAGATTCTTCAAAAATCAAGATGTACCCTTGTTCGATCCTCTAAATGCATTCATATTCTACGATCAGATGCTACTAAAAGAACATGTGTTCGTTGGGAATTGGCTCGATGAGTCGTTGAAAATTTACTTGTTTTAGTAGTGCTACATGTGTGTGATAGTAGTGAAGTCAAAATTTTCACTAAAAAGAGTTAAAATATAAAACAGTAAACACACGAAAGTATATATCCATTTAATTTTTTTTTCCTATTTACGCAATGTAATTTTTCAAGTTGAAGACACCACTTAGGACAAAGTTGGCTGCACCATTGGTGTATGACAATATATTTGAAAATTCTGAACAACATTGCTTACTTCCCATGGATATAATACCTCAAAATTTCTACTTAAGCAAATTCACTACTAAAAAGCAAGAGTTAACTACAGACATATTCTATAGCTAAACAGTAAAATTCATTCTTCACTCTATTTAGCATCGAATTATCAAATAATTCTATTAGTATTGAAACTAGCAGATTAGCGACGAAGTTCATATCTAATTTTAGGTGTGTCAATAATCCAAAAATAATATATTTACCATATCAAAAAGACTTGAACGTCTTTTCTTTTTGTTGAGACTTGATTGTCTTAGAAAATATTTTTGAGCATGACTTGCAACTTGAGTTGGAGTCCTTGTTGTCACAAAATTTCTTGAAATTCCTCTCCAATCTCCTTTACCTAACTTTTCAAGTCCATTTAAGAATCTTCTATGTTCCTCTTCTGTCCATGGAACGCCTAATTCATCCAATATAAACATATATATATATCAATAATCACATTAAAGGAGCATTTTACGTTCACACATAATTTGGGAAAGAATCGCACCATCAGAAGTGTGATATAAACAGTCTGCCCTGCTATAAGTATTAATGGTTGCTTAATAGAATATTTTCTATTGGATATATTAACCTTAATAATGGTATAACCCCTTCATATATAAGTTACAATTAGACCAATATAGTTGAAGTTGTGTACTCATAAGAAAGATTCTACATGTTTATGTACTACACCAACTACAACTTAATTCCACTTAAGTTAGGTAGGTCAATTATATGAATTTTCACTATTTAATATGTCTCATTTAAGCTCATCTTAGTTTAATGTGAAAATGTTCATTATACACACAAAAAAAATAAAATGAAATTAGCTATAGTTATAGTTAATAGCTAACATAACTTGTTGATAATCCGTTGATAAATAGGACTAGCAATGAATTTTGATATTTAGCTACATAATCTATCACTAAAATTCATAATTTTTAGTAGTTCATATTGTCGATTTTAGGCTAGGTCGTTGTTGGTGGTACTGGTAGGGGTAGGGGTAGGGGTGGTGGTGGGGGGCGCAGTTGGCTGACAATCAACATAAAAACTAACTAGTCAATTCATGATGAATTCTCACGATATAGAAAAAAATGTGTGTTCTGGTGATGACAACATGCAAATAAGAAAGAACCATGAGTCAAGAAGATGATTTACCACCCACCCCACCCCCCACCCCACACACAAAAAAAAAGGCAAACATTTTGGATTAGACCATATAGTGAACCAAATTTGCAAATATAAACCATTATTATTGTACATTAATAAAACATACTAGAAATGTGTGTGTACAAATAAGTATATATGAATTAATTAAATTACATACCTTTCTTCCTTTCACCAACACAACCTACAAGAGTACCATCAGAGATATAACCATTATTATCAATAGAAGTAGTACTACTTTTTTCCCAACTTTCATTAAGAGATGGAGAAGAAGATGAAGAGAATAAGTGGCTATTTGTTAAAGACAAACAATCCAAACTAAAACTTTTCTTCAAATTATTATCATGACTAGAAAAACAAGAATTAGAAATATCAAGTTGCACTCCAAAAAGCCTTAATCCACCAATAAAATTACTACCACTAATAGCACAATTCAAAGTGCTACAAGTTCTTGAATTATGACCAATATAGCCACAATGTGAACACTTTCTCCCCATTTTCACATACACAAAAAACAAGGTTAGTTTCACAATTATTATTTTGTTTGGTTGTTGAAATGGGAGGAAGAGAAGAGGGTTATGTATATATACAAGAACTATTTAGTTTTTTTTTAAAAATAAAATAAAATTATATAATGATGATGTGTTGTATAGTACAAGGTAGGGTTTTATGAAATAGCCAAGTAAAGATGATTGGATGGACATTAATGTTTTTGGTTGGTTGGATATATTATCCAAGTTGGGGTTTTAGAGTAGACAGCAACAACTTTTTTGTGATTTTACAAACGACGAAATAAAAAGAAGATGGAATTATTATAGGAAAATAATGATCAAAGGTCTCTCTCATAGAATGCAGAGAGCATTTCACGTTTACTCAGAGTTTGAAAAAGAGTCATACCTTAAGGGGTGTTAATAAACGTAACTTATTAGTACAAAATATTAGTGATTACTTTCACGACTTAACATATAGCTTACACAAAAATAACTTTAAAATAAATTAATCTCTTTAGTAGAATTTCTGACTATGTTATGTAAGGATTATAACTTACTATAGTTATATGCACTAAACTCTCTATTATTAATTGTTGAAAAAAGAAATGGTCAATAAGGTTATCTTGTCGAAGATATTTGGAAATTTTTTGATGTTGATTTATCAATGGCTTTTTGAACATTGCATAAATAAAGACCTCTTTTCCTGTTTTTTATTTTTTATATTTTGGGGTGGGTGGTAATAAGTCCAATATATGTACAAAATTCATGAAATTAGTTTCTAGCAAAGAGTTGGAAATTGGAATGTGTGTATAAAGAGTCAATTAATAAATTCAGTCATGTAATATTCTTTTTATCATGATTTAGAAATCTTGAAAGTCTTATGATGTACAGTTTAAAACTCGATGAATAATAAGTTTGTTTCTGTATATCTTTTTATGGCCGTTACACGACTCAAATCTATTTCTTTTCGAAGAAAACAACTCAACATGTCAACCAATATATAAGATATTTTCCAACTTATTTAATATATATTTCTCATAATAGCAAATTCGAATTTATAGAATCACTTACTATTTCTGAATTTTTTTTTAAATAGCCTATGATTTTTCTAGATTGGATTATACTTGTGGGATATTTTTTTGGTAGTACTAGTACTTTGTTGCAAATGGGATGAGAACTTCAACAAAAGATACAATATCTTTCTTAATAAAATCTGACAAAAAAAATCTTAGTTTTTAAAAAAAGGGGATTTATCTCTATCCATATTGAAAAGTATTTATGTATTAGAAATCTCGAGTCTGAATTCTAAAAATGGAGGAAGAGGAGGATAGGTAAAAAGCATGCATTTTCAGGTTCTGCGCTAAGTAAATATAAATTAATCAAGATTCTAAAACAATAACCACTAGTGAAAAAAACAAAATTTATCATTATTGTACTTCCAACCCCACCCCACCCCCCAATATGATGTGGCATTTTTGTCCCTTGAAGAATTTTCATTTTCAAGAACAAAATAAACAAATATATCTCTCTGCCTAATTCTTTCCTGCTGAAATATCTTTAGCACATCACAAGTTGGAGATACAATATCATACTTTCTCCGTTTTAATTTATTTGTCTTATTTGCTATTTTTGTCCGTTATTCTAACTTTCCACGTGACATATTCAAGACCATAAGATTTAAGTACATTCTAATACATTCTACGTATCTATTAGTTCAAGATCATGAGATTCAAAAATCTACTTTACTTTCTTGAACTCTGTGTCAAATCAAAACTAGATAAACAAATTGAAACGTAAGGAGGAGGAGTATTCATCACAAGAATCTAACTCTTTACCTTAGTGAAGAATTACAGGTACAGAGTAACTGAGAAAGGAATTTGTTGCAAATGTTGCTCTCTCTACATATAATTACAAGGCGATGAACACGCGATATGGCTGCTTGAATCAATTAGCAGCTTCTGTTGTCGATATCACCACGACATAGAGAGCAAGGGACACTACAGTTGTTCGCGGAGAGGAAGAACAAGGTCAACGAACTACTAACATCAACCACGAGATTCTGGAAAAAATGCAGTGTTGAGATATACAAACCTATGAGATGATGAACTTCATTACAGTCCATTCAATCTGGAACTTCTTCTCAGTTCGTTACTCCTCCATAATGAACTGAAAGCATGAATAAGGACAATCCTAGTGCAGCGATGTTCACCTTACTAAAACTTTCATAAGACGGGCAGGATATCGTTGCTTGTTTTCACTTTCTCAGGGTATGAGATCAGAAGACCATGATGGAGGTGAAGCTCAGTATTCTTAACTGCAAAAACAGTTATGAATTTTCGCAACGTATCCAATGAGTTTAGATAATACAACAACAACAACATAGCTGGTGTGTAATCCCACAAGTGGGAACTGGGGAGGGTAAGATGTACGCAGACCTTTCCCCTACTGTGGGTAGAGAGGTTGTTTGACTTGTTTTTGATAGACCCTCGGTGAGTAGTATGAACCAAGTATTCAGTAGAATGAATTACCATTTTGCAGTCAACATACGAATAGTGGTCTTAATTCTAATAGAAAGGACTTGCTCAAGGTATACTTTTTAGGACGGCATATGGGAAATAAAACAACGAGAATACTTACGAAGAAGAGATGCTAAGACCCGCTCCAGCTTCTAAATTTGCAAATTCCACGGCGATTTTCAGCAAAAGAATCACGTATTGACTGAACCATGGAACTGACAGCTGGAAATAGACCGAGGTCTTCGTGCTGCTCCTGAAAATACAGTGTCCGTTTACATCATTTTAGAAGAGAGCTATTACTAATCGAAAAGTTCAAAGCAACTCAATACCACTTGAGATAGTCGATCTTCAATATTCCCGGAGCTCGTATCAGTGGGCATAAATATCTTTCTATAAGCTGCTCTCAGGCTCTTAATCTGGATACTTGCAAGAAAAATTTAAAACTAAAATCAGAGACATTAAAGTTATGGGCAAAATTATAGCAATTTAATATATTGAAACTGATAGCACATTAATCTTTTAATAGCTTGTAATGGAAAAAGGAAAAAAGGTCTACAATTTTTTTTTTGATGACAAGGGAACCCGCAGCCTTTATCCTTCAGGTGTGCACAGGGTAAATCCCGCTCGAGTGTAATAGTGCACAAACCGCACTAGGCAAGACTCGTACGATTAGCTCGACTGAGAAAGCATGCAGGGTTTCGAAGCTGAGACCCCCATTTGGGAGATCCCTGCTCAACCAACTCGGCCACCCTTGCAGGTATCTACAATTTTCTTTTTTGATATCAGAGCAACCCCCTGTAGGCTTCTTGCTCAACTCCAGTTGGCGCACAGGTTCAGAACTCTGGGAAGTATGGCCCACACCCGCCCCCTACCTTCCTCCTAACATAAATACCATGTTTTGTCCGCAACATGGTTCGAACTTGTGACTTACACCTAATCCACACCACATGTTTCAGTTTACCAGATTATGCAATGTCTCATATGGCTTTCTTTAGAGTCTATATAGATTTTTTTTCTCATTGGGATATTATTACTTAGTATATGTCCAATATATGCAGCAGCATGTCTTTTCTCCAGAATGAACAGCACAGAACATAATTATTTTTTTCTTATTGATTAAAACACTACCAAGTAGAAAGTAGAAAAACAAGTCATAGCAAATGTTACAACAGAGGAATAACACGTGAAAAAAACACGATATGGGCTTTTAGCCACTGAGACACAGACCAAATAGCTTATCAAAATTGAACTTCCTACATCTATTTGCTAGATACATAGGGTAATTTTTGTTAGAATGAAACAAACCTCCACAGCGGAGAATCCACGACGTCTTAAGCCTTCAAGATTCAACCCACGAAGCTCAGCTCTTTCCCCTGAGACAATTATGTACTTTGGAACATCTTGAGAAACCTGGGGAACAAAAAGATTGAGATCCCAAAAAGGAAACACATATGTGATCTCGAATATCACAGTTAGCGTGCTACAGTACAAGAATGTATGTGCTTCTAATATTAGAAATGCAGCTGAAATAATTTGATGATATTCAACTTAACGTAAGCAGTTCGAAGCTAAGCTTTCATGAGATGCAAATTACAAAGAACTTTAAGCGTCTAGCAGTTATAGATGCTTTGCTAACTTAAATTATGCTTACATCAGGAAAAACACCAAACTATGAACCTGTTGATATCTTAGTTTATCATGAGAGGAAGGCTGAGTCTTTCGAAAAACTAAAAGACAGCAACTAATTTGAATTAGGAAAGAATCTCACCACTGAACCACCACCAATGAAAGAATACGAACCAATACGGCAAAATTGATGAACTACAATACCTCCAGCAGTGTGAGCATAGTCCTGTATGAGAAGAATTTAAACCATCATCTATCAGTTCGATTTGATTTTTCCAGAATAGGTCATGCTTCACGAAAATGACGAAAGTGGAATAGTCTATCACCTCCACCACAACATGACCTGCAAGAAGTGTACTGTTCGCCAAAATATTGTTGTTGCCCATTTTGCAGTCATGAGCTATATGGCAAGAGCCCATAATAAGATTATTATCACCAATAACCTGTTTATGTAAGCTCGTTAAAGATAACTATGTACTAAAATTTATAACTTTCTGCACAACAGAAAAACTAACGAGCTAGTTTCATACGGTTTTATCACTTGGAATTGAAGATCGATGGATGGATACATGTTCCCTGATTTCATTATTGTCACCAATCTCGAGAAAGCACTCATTCCCAAACTGAAATAGTCAAATTCAAACAAGATAACGGTTATTTGCATTTTCAAATAAGCACCACCTACTTAAATGTGAGGGTGAGGGAAAGAGTGATCATGATGAACAGACAGATCATCGAACTGATGGAGACAACTCCGAGCTCATAAGCCAAACAAAAATGATTCTCAATTCGGCGGCAGCACACTTTTAAATCTATATGATGTGATAGAACAGTATTGAATAAATTTAGCTGTCAACACTATCAAGATGTTTTTCAAATTTCTTTTTAACTTTTTTCAGTAATGAGTTTAATACCAGGATACTGA